TCCCAACCTATAAACGCATTCAAATTTAAATTTTGAAAAAATAGGCATCACAAAAAACCAGGAATTGAAAATGACACCTCTTTAGTCTCGTAAAGTGCATCTATGGTTTTCAACGGCCCAGTCAAGTTGTTAAGTTCTTCAACAATAGGCATGCGTGAGTTCGATGTCACCGAAAATGTAGTGATACTTGGCAACTGAATATTCCTCTCAGCCATAAACACCTACCTCCTTGTCATGGAACACACACTCAAGACTCCTTATTTCACCTTCTTCACTTCGCGCATAGTACATGCGCACCAGCCGTAACCTTAAACCACATGTTGTTGATTGAGGACATATATCCCCAATCAAACCGAACATTGCAGCCATTTCTACGCAAATATTGAATTGGAGTGATGCCTGGTTTGCTACTTGCTATGGTGGACTGGAGTGATGCCAAGGTCCCTATTTATAGTGGAAATTGGTGGAAATTGGAGCCACATTAAAAGTCTCGACCGTTTGTATAACCCACATTTTGTATTGATGCATTACTATTTAAATTATTTACAATGCATTCAATGTAACTCATTGGAATCCCAAGAGTCAAATTGATGTAGACGTGTTATTTGAATTGGTCGCTTCAAATTATTTACATGCATCGGTAGTAACAAATATAGCCAGCCGCCATTTTATATTCTATTATTTTGTCTTTTCAATCAACAAAGCTCTTTGGAAACGTCCGGATATTTAACTTATTTGACTTATACTCCGTATTAATTAATGGGATACATCAATATCCTGCCCCTACCCTCACTACATTTTTATGATACATTTTTTCCCGCCCATTCTCTCCCCAAACCCCCCCCACACTTTTCTATTTTACTATATACAAACTCCGTCCCGGTCATTTCTTCCAGTTTTCCTTTTTGGGCCGTTCCAATTATATCTTCCAACTTTCCTAAAAAGGAATTCAACCCATACCAAAAACCCTATTTTACCCTCCCTAAAAAAAACCTTTCCCACCCCCCTTCCATTTTACCCGTTCGCATCCCTCTCTCTCTCATTTACTCCCACCCGCATCCCTCTCTCCCATTTACCCCCACCGCCTCCTCTTTCTCTGTCACTGCATCCGTCTCTCTCAATTACTCCAACCGTCTCTCCCATTTACTTCCTCCATCTCCCCCTCTGTAAATCTATCTACCCTTCCGCCTCCCCCTCTCTCACATTTTTATGGTTCTAAACCCTAATACTTTGAGTGAAGAGGTTGTTCTTCCGGAGGAAGCGGTGGCGTTGGACACAGATGACCCTGTATTGGTACTCCATCCGAGGTGCATGGCTCAGAACTCCCCGGCAGAGGATGCCCTCCTCATCATCCCGGACAGTGAAGAAGAGCTTCCCGAGGATGTAAGCGAGAAGCCTGCAGAGGTCGTGGGGGAGACGGTGGACCCAAATCGGCTTAAAAGACGCAGAGGCATTGACATGCATCCTATTCGGAGAAGTCTCCGACTGGAGGAGTTCCTAAAAATAATTTTACCAAAATGGGAAACAAGGATGTGGGACGTGGACACAGATTAGGGGAGTTTCTTCTATACCTTATCTTCATTTATGGTTTAATTCGTACTCTGTGTCCATTGTGTGTAATTTGGGGGAAGCAATGATGAAAAATTGTTTTTTTTATGTTTATTGTGATGCATGTGGGTTGTACATGATGGTTTGGTATTATAAATGGTAGTTAGGCATACTGTGATGAAAGTATACCTTGTGTGTACTGGTCCTTCCATACTGTCATTAAACTGTCTCTTTGCATACTGTGATGAAACTAGACCTTGTGTGATGGTTCTTTATGCATACTATGATGAAAGTAGACCTTGTGTGTACTGGTTCTTTATGCATACTGTGAAAGTAGACCTTGTGTGTACTGGTTCTTTATGCATACTGTGATGAAAGTAGACCTTGTGTGTACTGGTTCTTTATGCATACTGTGATGAAAGTAGACCTTGTGTGTACTGGTTCTTTATGCATACTGTGATGAAAGTAGACCTTGTGTGTACTGGTTCTTTACTGCTATGATTGGTTCATTCTGAGTGGTATGCTATGATGAAAGCATTAGGCTGTGATATGGTACTCTATGCATGCTATGATGACCATATGATAATGTTTGGGTGGTTAATGCATACTGTGATGACCATGACCCTCATATGTGGTATTTTATGCATACTATGATGAGCATATGAAAGTATTTTGGTAGTTTAAGCATACTGTGATGACCATGATCCTGTGATGTGGTACTTTATGCATATTATGATGACCATGATCAGTACTTGTGTGTGATGTGTATGCTGATGTTGTAGTTATTCATAAGGTCTGAGTGTGCTGTTTTTGTCCCAAAATGATGAAATCATTATGACCATTGCTAGATCACTATGTTTCTACTATTACAAAATGTCTGACTATGCTTGTACTTCTACAAAAGGTCTGAGTACGCAGCATGTATTACAAAATGTCTGAGCATGTTAGTACTAATTCCAAATGTCTGTGTGTCCTGCAAAATTAAGGCCTGTACAAAAAACAAAAAATTTAAGGCCTATCATGTCTGAGCATGTACATCATCATCTTCTTCAATTATGAAGTTCCCCTGACTTTCAATATCCTCTGTTTGTTGCCATAGAATCTGTTCTGTTGCTTCCAATAATTGAACATCTACCTCAATTGTTTTTGGAAGTATCCCTTCTGACGGCATCCTATCCTTTGCATTGTGTGGTAGCTTGTAATTGTTGCCTCCTTTCACTTTCAGAACTTCAACCATAACATACTGATAGCTTAGCCAAACTTTGTTTAGAGTCATAGGTGATAGTTGTTTGAAAGCATCGTCCACTGCATGTAACAGTTCATCCACTGTCTTGGGTGCATTCTGGTCTTTCAAAGATTGTATTGCCCTAAAAAACCCTAGGTCTAGGATGTTAAGGTCCAGAGAATTGGGGGGCTGGTTAGTAAGGGTGATTGTAAACCCATCAGCCATGGAAGCACTCATATACTCTGCATCATCATGTGAAATGTGTGCCCTTGCATTGTCTTGTTGTATTGTGATTTCTTTGCTTAACTGTGGAGGCCATTTTTCCTTGATAGCTGGGAGGACTGTGTTGATTAACATGTCCTTAAACACTTTCTTTGTTATGCTAAGAATAGGCTTGATTTCCATAACACTTGTATTTCTGTTTTTGCTTCTTCTTTTTGCTGCAACCTGTTCAACAAATGGAAACATGCATATTTTTCCATCCCAAATGACCTCACCACTTTCGGAAAAAAGGGGCCTACCCACTGCACCTAGGGACATGACCTTAGTTATGAACCTCTTTGATTTGCATACTCTGTGTGGATCAGCCTCTTCCAACCCCATGTATAATCTTTGAGATGTTTTTGTCATGAAAAACCATTTTTCATCAATGCGAATCACATTCTGAAATGTTTGAAAGGTAGGCTTCTGTGGCACTGACTTCTCTATCTGACTAAGACAGAACTTCAATCTTTGCAATTTATTTGCATCACTTAGAAATGGCTTTATTGCATTTGTATGCCTTCTGATGTTACCACTTTGAACCAATCTGTGGACACTTGACTTTGATATTGAGGTGGCAGCTGCTAAGGACCTTATGGTAGTCCTTTTATGGAGTGGGATCTGTGATACTTGAGATAGATCAAATTCTATCCTTTTTCTGCCATGATACTTCCTACACACATTTACTGCATCACCTTGTACAACTTGCTTTTTAACTGTGTCCCAAATGCCAGAAATAGTTCTTCTGGACACTTCATACTCTTCAGCAAGTATGACAAAAATACCTTTCTGAGCTTTCAAGTACTCCAAAAAATCCCTCCCACTGAACATTAAGAGTACATGTGTTATGCGCTCTTTTTCACTGTTCGAAAGCCTTTTTCCCCACTGCAGCACCATGACCATCCGTTGTTACTATTTGCAGGTCTAGGGGTCCTGGTGTGGAAGAAGCTGGAGAAAATGAAGAAGAAGCTGCAGCTGTGGAAGATATTGCAGCCATGGAAGCTGCCTTTTTTGTTTTCAGTGTGCGTGTGTGTGCAATGTTTGTAAGTGTGCGTGTGTGTGTAAGGAGAGAGTGGTATATGTAAGGAACTAATCTCCCTCCTTTTTTTTGGATTGTCGCCTATGTATGAAACTTTTAGTCAAATGTGAATAGTCTTTACTATTCACATGTCAATCAATATACTTTTAATCACTTTCCCATTTTATTAAAGTTTTTATCTCAAATTTTACCCATTCATTTACCCCATTCGACCAAGGGTATAAGGGGAAAGTCAACCCCTTTATAAATTTGCATAAATTTGTGATACCGGTCAAAACCGGAAGAAATGACCGGGACGGAGGGAGTATATAGATTTCAAAGGTGGAGGGTCGCGCCTTTCAGATGTGACTAGACTTGACCAGATTTTTTTTTAAATTTACATATATAATATGAATGCCATATGAAAGATCATAAAAAGATATTTAATTTGATATAATTTTTATAAAAATCGGAACAAAATTGAAAAAGTTGTGACATTTTATAAAAAAAGGAATTACTTGCCAATGACATCATTTTATTGGATGTGCATTTAATGTAAAATTGTAAGAACATGATAGAACCGAGCATGAAGACGGTAGAGCATCTCCAATGCTAAAACGTTAACGGTGCATACGTGACATGAGAAATAACCAATTAAAAAACAATAAATAGAATATCTTTCTCCTTATTTGAAGGATCTTACATCATTTTGGTAAGTTTTTCTTCACGATGTCAAGCACAATGTCTAGATGTAGACATTGTGATTAAGCAATTGTGGGGTGCTCGAAGCAACACCCTTCTAAGGCCTTAACATTTAAGGGATGTTTGGATCTGATACTTAAAACTGCTTCTGCTCAGGAAGCAAAAACAGAAGTTTGAGTGTTTGAGGGAAAGTGAAGAATTAATTCTGATGCTCTAATTTAATTCTGAATCTGTTTTTTTGGAAGTTAGAGGATGAAGAGTTTTGAAAAGCGATTTGAATCTCATTCAGAATGATTTCCAAAATAAAGAACTACTCCGTATGAGTGGGGTTTTGTTGGAAGAAGGCAGTGGGGTTTTGGGGGGCTTTTGTGGATATGTATCCGATTAAGCGCCTCTTCTTCAATTGTTTCTCATCAGGAATCTTGCATATATTTTGTTCATTGGATTGAAGAACCCCCCAAAAGTTTAGTTTTTGTTTCGGCGTGTAGCAATTAAAATTATCAGCGTCTTTTTCGAAATGGCGCTTAAGGTCACTTCAAGAGACATCCAGGAGATCGTCTCCAAGCTGTCATCTGATAAAGCCAAGTCTCGAGAAGTAACGACCTTTTGAACTCTATTTTTCTCTCGGTACAGCTTATAATGGTTAGGCTTTTATTTATTAAAATTAAGCAAAAAGTATAAGCAAGGAAAGAGAGAATTTCTGAAGGATGATAATTGAAACATCCGTCAAGAGCTTTCCTCTCACTCATTGTGATTGTTATCATTTTTTCAATCTAGGAAGGGGTGAAGTTGCTGAATACATGGCTGGATGGTGAGAGGAAAGCGGCATTCTGTACGTACATTGCAGAGAAGACTGCAATGCTTAAACCCTATGACATTCCTCACTGTGAGTTGACGGTGTATAATTATTGTTTAATAGAAGTGTTATTGTCTGAGTGAATATTAGTGTGAAATTTGAGGGGTGCTTATTTTGATGACAGCTGAAACATGGCCTTTCCTTGTGGAATTGCTAATGAATTGTGTATTGCTGGAGATATCTGGAAGCAAGAAACGGCCACCAAAGTTGACATTCGCAAAAACTCTTCGAGTTGTTGTGCAAAGGGCCGAGGACTCTCAATATTCAGGTTGGTGTTTTGGACAACATTATCTTTGAAATGAGATGACAACATTATAATGCTTCACGAAGAGCAGTTCACATGGCTTTGAACTGGTTCTCAGTTCCTCTCCCTAAAAGATGTTAATATTTTAATGGGAATTATTTTGACATATCAGCTACCATATGAAGTGTAAGCCAGAACGCGTACACGTAAAGTTGCTAACTATATTAAGGCAAAATTGAAATAGAAAATATTACTTGCACTCATTTTACAAAAAAATCCCAGTTGAAGAAGTTTACAACAATAGTCCCAACTCTTTAATAGCTATTAACTACGAACCGTAATTTAATAATGTTAACATTCTGTTATTAGGGCCCGTTTTTGTGATGCTGTTAACATTTTAAGATCATTTTTGTAAAGTTTCCCAAACTTGGTATTAATGTTGTCAAAACTTAAATATTTCTTTCAATATATAAATGGTCACAAAGTGTTCGATATAAATGTGAAGTAATATTTACAACAATTTAGTACTCCATCCCTCCCATATTATAAGGGTCATATTAAATTACAAAGTTTGGCTGAGCGGGAATTAATTCTCACATTTTAATGTTTGATTTAGTATCATAAAAAATTACTCTAAAAGCTATATTTTAATGGAAAAAATCAAATTTGGATATGAAAAAAATTAATAAGAGAATAAAAGAGAATTGGATTGACCACATGAGTAATTATTAGAACATATGGGATACACGGAGTATACTATTAAAGAATTAATTTCTATTTTATGTTTAAGAAGATTTTCTTAAATGAGTACTTGATGTTATTCATTATTCTATCTTTGGTGCATTTATTTGTTCTTGATTCCAATTTGAGTACTGAAGTATTTGAATATAATGTCAATTTGGGTAGTACATGTTTATCAAATTATCTACAAATGTCTCAAACATTTATGATTTTTGAGAACTCTACATAATATGTTACTAAATTTCATATATTTTTTTTAAATCTTTGGTTTTGACTTTATTAATTAGTGAGAAAAAATTGGACATTTCTACATTTTTTAGATGTACAAAAATGTGCCAATTCTTGTGCCAGACCATTTGCCCATAATTAATGAATCTTGTTTATATCAAGTTTCACTCTCTTGAACTAGAGCAAGCTGAATGGGTTGGTGATTGTGCTAGCTGTATTCTATTTCATTTCATTTATCCCAGTGCCGCAAAGGCTCCCACCTACGGTGGGGTAAGGGGGGATGGGGTCGGATGTACGCAGTCTTACCTCTGTACTAAAGCGATGAGAGTGGTAGCTATATTCTATACATAAATTTATTTATGTTTGCATTTGATAGCAATCACATCATTTGTTTCTCCATCTCTTTCTGTTGTTCATTCTTAAGCTCATGTTAATCACTTATTCCACAACTTTTTAAAGCCATTCTTAAAGTTTTATGTCTTTAAATTTGAGCCCGTGCAATTTTTTCTTCAGGTTTCGGTCATTTCACTTCTCAATAAATGAATTTGTAATTTATATAATGTGAATGTTATTCTGTCAGGCAAGACTCAGCTTCTTCTCCATGTGGTAAAGTTTCTCTTTAAACATGTCTGTGATGTTCTAAGGGATGTTCCTAGTTTCCAATCTGAGTATAGCACTATTCTGCGGGATCTATTAGCAGTGAGGCCTTATGGACTACACATGAGGAAGCATACTTATTATGGTGAGTATCATTTAATTTAACCATCGGTTGGACGGACTACATTTCTTTACAAAAAAAGCCATGCCACATCTTCCATATTGTTTTTTTTCTCATTATTTTATTGTAACTGACTAGGTCTTATGCTTTTCTACATGGAAAGAGTGCAAACAAGCCTTAGTGCAAAAAATGATGGTCAGTTGAATCCTAAAGATGAGATTTTTCGCTGTATTCTGACACTTCATTCTCTTCTTGAGAACCCCCCTGGAGATTTTTCTAATGATCTTCGCGAGCAGATTTTAGTGGGGTTTGCTAAGTTTTTTACTCAAATAAGGTAGAACATTTTCAGATTCTTGTCATTGTATTTTTATATGCACACTTCCTCCATCCCATTTTACGTGCCCTACTTTACTTTTTGGGTTGTCCCAAAATAAGTGTCACATTTCCTTTTTTTGGAAAGAAATACTCTGTATTAATACTCAAATCTCAACCATAACTTTACTTTTTCACTTTATTATACTCAAATCTCAACCATAACTTTACTTTTTCAACCACTTTATTAATAATTGTGTCAAATCAAAGTATGACGCACAAAATGGGACGGAGGTAGTATAATATAAAGGACAAGGAACAAAAATACCCCTCAATAATACACCATAGAACACATATATCCTTGATCTATTTTTTGGCTCAAATAACTGTCAAAGTTAATTTTAAGCCCATATATACCCTTCACTGTCTGTCATTCAAAAAGTAAACTTTCCATTTCTCCAAATAAATCAAGAAACCCTAGCCTTCTCGTGTCTTGCCGCCATGGGTCTAAAGAACAGCTCAGGGCCTGTAGCAGCAAGGCGTCTTCTTCAACGATAGAGGTATTCCTAGGCGGCTTCTTAAACTCCTCATGAATAGCAGGATTAACAACACAGATGGAGCATAGAAGGCAGCTCATCAACCCCTTTGATCCACCAAATGATAATTGCTTTGGAGATCCCATATTAGTTTTTTTTGTGTCGTCCCTGCTCACTTTCAATTCTGACTAGTCAACCAAGGGTATATTTAAACCTATAAAATAGTTTGGGCAGATTTTTGATCCAAAAATAAGAACGGCGGTATATGGGTACCCCAAAACATGTGTGAGGGGTATATTTGTGCTTTAACCCTATAATATAACTGCTCTTTATTCCGAGTTCATTGTTTTCCATTTGAGCTATTACCAATTGTCTGTACAATACATGCTGTTTCTTTTCAGGGATGAGGGAAAAGTTACACGGAAGCTGATAGAGTGCATTAACACATATTTGCTAATTGATGGTCCAAATTTGGGCCTTAAGTACCTAGAAATCCATAAAGATGTGCAGCAGTTAGTGTTCAGCTTTTGGAAAACAACACATGATCGGAGCCTGAAGGTTTTCATATGAATATCATAAAGTAGTGCATTGTTTGGTTTGATAAATATGATTCTAAATTTCCCCTCCTTACAGGACTCAATTGTGTTCTATGCGAAGCTGCAATTAAATTTGACTAGAGGTGCTGCAGATGAGGGTGCTTTGTTAGAAGAACTATTGGATATTACGTACAAGGAATTGAACCAAATGAGTATATCGGGCAACAATTTCCCTTGGTTAGTGGTGCTTTTGTATTATGTTTTTCCCGCTCTAAGTGCCGATCTGTGTGACACACTTAAGTATGTGTGTGGTGTGCATAGGAGAGAGACTCTCAAGGATGAGAAATACCAATCCATGACAAGGTCTCAGTGTAGCATCATGGAACTTGCCGCCCTAGTCTTTTGTCGGGTAATTATTGCGGACTATATTCACTTACATTCCCTCATTGCTTTGCAGGCTCTATATTATGTACTCTAACAATCTCAATATCCATCCGTCCATCCGTCCATCTAAAAAAAACTAGACCAAATCAGATTAAATTTAAATAGGATAGGCTTGATCAAATCACAACAGATACGTAAAATATACATACACCAGACACTTACCTGACTAGATCAAATTAGACCGTCAGACCAAACATAACACTGCATGCTACACCCAGAACAAAAGTATGATCAAGGACAATGATTGCATAATCTGGATTACCTATGAGATACTGGGCTGAAGCAATCAACACTGCATGCTACACCCAGAACAAAAGTATGATCAACAAGAATCACCAGAAGACCCCTTATGAACTTTGGAAAGGAAGAAAACCTAACATCAGTTACTTTCATGTATTTGAATGCAAATGCTACATTCTCAACAATGGAAAGGAGCATCTGAAAGTATTTCAAGAGAAAGCTAATGAAGGTGTTATTCATAGGCTACTCAAACACCAGCAAAGCCTATAGAGTACTCAACAGAAGAACTCTACATGTTGAAGAATCCATACATGTAAAGTTTGATGATAGCATCTCTGTTGAAGATGTAACAGAGACCCTCAAAGAAGTCAACATAGATGACAGAATCCCTAAATCAACAGAAGAGGTAGCAGTCAAACCAGTGTTTCCAACCCCTGCACCAAACCTTCTTCTGTTAAATGAAGATGAAGATTCAGAAGATGAGGAACCAGAGAAACCCAGACATCAACTGACAGAACCTGATTGGACATATCAGAAACGGTGTGCAGATCAGATCAGCCTTAACAAGAAGAGATGACATGCTTGTCTGCTATATATCTCAGATGGAACCCATGATGGTAGAAGAAGCTCTTGCAGACTCAGATTGGATCAATGCAATGCAAGAAGAGCTTACTCAATTTGAAAGGAACAAAGTATGGGAACTTGTTCCTAGGCCAAAGCACCAGAATGTCATTGGAACCAAATGGGTATTCAAGAACAAAGCTGATGAAGAAGACAATGTTGTAAGGAATAAAGCAAGGTTAGTAGCTAAAGGATACTGCCAAGAAGAAGGGATAGATTTTGATGAGACCTTTGCACCAGTCGCCAGACTTGAAGCCATCAGAATCTTCCTAGCTTATGCTGCCTACAACAACATCAAGGTCTACCAGATGGATGTCAAGAGTGCATTTCTGAATGGAGATCTTGAAGAAGAAGTTTATGTGGAACAACCACCATGTTTTGTCATTCCTACTCAATCCTCCTGTGTCTACAAGTTTAGAAAGGCCCTTTATGGTCTTAAGCAAGCTCCCAGAGCATGGTATGACACATTGTCCCTATTCATAGTGAACCATGGGTTTACCAAGGGAAAGGTTGACAAAACTCTATTTCAAATCTGTGTTGCTAATCATATTCTGCTAGTGCAAATATATGTTGATGATATTATATTTGGAAGTACTAATGCAGAATTATGTAAGAAATTTTTTCAAGTGATGCAGAGTCAATTTGAAATGAGTATGATGGGAGAACTGAGCTACTTCCTAGGACTGCAAGTCAAACAAGTTCCAGAAGGAATCTTTATCAATCAAGGGAAGTACACCAGAGACCTCATCAAGAAATTTGGAGTAGAAGGCAAATCCTCAGAGAAGATTCCCATGAACACTTCTCAAGGAATTGGTCCGGATGATGAAGGCAAAGATGTTGATGCAACAACCTACAGAGGAATCATTGGATCTCTTCTCTATATCACTGCAAGCAGACCAGACATCTCATTCTCTGTTGGAATCTGTGCCAGATACCAATCAAAGCCCAAGGAGAGCCATCTAAGTGCTGCAAAAAGAATCATCATATACATCAAAGGAAATCCAAATGCAGGCCTATGGTATCCCAAGGGAGGTAACTTTGAACTAATTGGTTATTCTGACTCAGATTTTGCAGGTTGTAGGTTAGACAGGAAGAGCACCTCTGGTCACTGCCAACTGCTAGGTGGGAGACTTGTCTCCTGGTTTAGCAAGAAGCAGAACTCTATCTCAACCAGTACAGCAGAAGCTGAATACATTGCAGCTGGGAGTTGCTGTGCTCAGCTACTCTGGATGAAGCAACAACTGAAGGATTATGGCATTCAAGCAAAGGAGATCAAGCTTCTCTGTGACAACACCAGTGCCATTGCAATCACTCAGAATCCAGTCCTTCACTCCAGGACAAAGCACATTGAGATCAGACATCATTTCATCAGAGATCATGTTGAGAAGAAGCACATATGCATGGAGCATGTGTCAACAGAAGACCAGCTTGCAGATATTCTGACAAAGCCCTTACTTGAGGCTAGATTCAACAAACTGAGAGAAGAATTGGGAATGATGGATGAAATTCCAAGAGAAAGTTGAAAAGGAAGATCTTCTATTACAGATTCTCTGTTGACAGAATACCTGTTGCAGAACCCCTTATGTTCTCTACTTTGAACAGAGAACCTCCGTTCATAACAGAACACCTCAGCAACAGAAACCCTCTCTATCTCTGACAGAAGGTTGTGGACTTGGAAATATTTTTGATGAAACGGGTGACCTACAATCTTAATGAAGGTCTTTTACCTTTTTACCCTTAAAACGGTATTACAGCCGCGAAATATTTACTGCGCCCCCATTTTCATTTATTGGTACCTCGGAACCGCCAATAATCTCAAACGTCCACTAACCCGAACCCATATATTCCCATCTCTCAAACCTAAACCGTTACTACTCTCAATATTCTCAAACTCTCAAACCTCCATAGCTCTCAAGCTTTCAGACACTTTCTCTCTGCTCTAATGGCAGTTATCAGCTTCGACTCGCTTCCAAAGACTCAACAGGAAACTCTGACAAAAAATGTGTTCACCAGGATGAAGTGCGACCTCTATGCACTTCCAAAACTGGCGGAAGATGAGGAACTCATGGAGATGATCCTAGAGTGTATTAACGACTCCCAACTGAGCAAGGTAATCACCTACAACTATACTTAGTACAATACTGTTGATGTGGTTGAGTTTTATCTCAACGCTGACTACGAAGGTGAGGTCATCACCTCCAATGTGAATGGAGAGAAAGTCATCGTTGATGTTGGGGCCATCAACAGTCTTTTCAAAATCCTGGTAGACAATGAATCAAACGGTCTCTTTGACCTAGAAGACGCTGACCTCATTGTTGAGGAATTTGCCATGAACTATGGCAGACCAGGTGCCACTATTCCCAAGCTAACCGGAAAGAAGCACTCCTTGAAGAGGGACATTGAGCTGATGGTAAACATCCTCCACAGGTGTGTATGGTGCAGATACACATCCACTGACGAATTCACCATCTCTCAAGCCAAAGCCATCTATGCTGTGTTGCACAAGGCAAACATCAACTGGGGACAGGTCATTGTCAGATCAATGATTGAGTTTGTCAAGGTAGCCAAGAGGAAGAACAAAGACACTGGCATCTACTCTGGGAAAGTAGGCCATGCCCTCCTCATCTCTGAGCTGTTGATCCAAGGAGTTGGGCTCCGGAAGCCAATTAGGTGGATCACTCTAAGGTGATTTTCATGTCTACCACAAGCAACAGAGAAGCTGCTATACGAGCTGAAATCAAAAGGTTAGCCAAGTTGGACCTTAACAGGCAAAAGCTCCAACAGAGACCCTCCCAACAGAACACCTCCACCAGTGCTGAGGAAGAACCCTTGGTGAGGAAAAGTGTGAAGGAAGCAGTTGTTAAGAAAGCTGCACCAGAAAAGGTCAAGAAGGTATTATTGACCAGGAAACCTAACTCCAAGAGGAAGAAATCCTATCCAGAGTCCAGATCATCTACCCCATCTGCACCTCTGGTCTCTAAGAAACAGAAGGTCAGAACCCATATCCCTAAGACTGCCCCAGAAACTCAGGGGGAACAAGAAGAACCTGCCTCGCCCTTTCTGGCCAAGAACCCTCTCTGGCAAGGGAAGAGGATCACTTTTGAGTCTAGTGACTCTAAGGACGAGTCAGTGGTGAAGGATGCCATAACTAAGTGGGAACCCCAGACCTCTGTGCCTGAACAACAACAGAACGCCTCTCTGGATAGAGAACCTGAGATGGACTACCGAGTTGCCCTGGACAAGCAATTCGAAAGAGTGTTAGCCTGGAGAAGATGGAGGATGGGACCTCTACAGAAGATCATTCAGTATTTCGACCATTATGAGTCTAAGGAAGCTGAGGTACTCAACTGGGTAGGCACTGATGATGTATCTAAGTGTTTTGCCATGAACTTTCTCATTTCTGTTCTTGATAAAAAGAAGGCCAACTATAAGGGCAAGGTTGTCCTCATTTCTACTCCCTCAGAAGAGCCAGTGAAACCTCTTGCAGATAATGAGATTGATGCGTTTGAAACCTGGTTATTTGCAAAGAAGGCAAGGGAATCTGTGGACCCTAACTTTGTCACTGGGGAATCTTCTACACCTAAGGATGAAGGCACCGCAATGATGGACCTATTCCTTCAGAACCCCTTATTCATATTTCTCCCAAATCCCCTTCTGTGCAAAAACTCCCAACACCACAACAGAGCACCCCCTTACCCCAACAGAAAACCCCTACTCCCCAAAAATCCTCAACCTCCAAATCCAAACCCTCTTCACCCTGCAAACAGTTTACCCCAACAAAGAACAAATCTCCTTCTCCTCCCCCATCACCTCAACGCCAGATTATTCCAACCCAACCTCAACAGATTACCTCTTCATCTCAACCATCTCAACAGAAATCCCCTTCACCTCAAAAGTCTGAGCACCAGAATGCCAAAATTGTTTCTCCTCCACAAAAGCAACCCCCTACTCAGCAAAAACCAATCTGGTACCTGAGATCCTCTGACCCTACAACCGTCTCTCCCATTTCTGCACCCCCTGGATATTCTAGGCAATCTACAGTACCCAACCCTTCCTTTCGCAGAAAGAAGAAGGTGATCAGAAACAGAATCCCCATTTACTCCT